CGTGCTGCTCCCTGTCCCCATAGGAGCTGCAGCTCCTGTCCCACAGTGCCCTGGGTGAGCTGTGGCGATGCTGGGCCAGGAGATTCTCTTTTCTTTGTGTTTTCGGGTGCTTGGAATGTGCCAATGCTTTTTTTTTTTCTTTTTTTTTTTGCCCAGCCCTCAACTCCCAGAGTCTGCGGTGGAGCGGACGGTAACAAATGGCTTTGCTCTGTTTTGGTTTGGGTGTTGTATTTTTGGTTGGTTTTTTTTTGTTTGTTTGTTTGTTTGCTTTCGGTTTGTTTTTAAAAGTTTTTGACTCTTTCTGTGTTTAGCACATTTTACTTGAAATTACCTCGTTTTTTTGTGACCTCATGAGCTTTTATTGATTTGGGGAAGGGGGGGGGTTGGGGAGGGGAGTGTTGAAGTTGATGGGGCCGGGTGAGGGCCGCGCTGGGGCAGGTGACGCGGAGATGCCAGGGAGGGGATCGCGTGCTGGGCCCCATTGGCCACCTCTCGTGCATTATCCTTTACCAAAATGGTATTTTTTGGAGCGGCCTGACGGAGCCTGGCTCGCCGGTTCGGAAAGCTACCTCTTGTGTTCGTTTTTGTTGTGTTCTGATTTATTTTTTTTTATTTTTTTATTTTTTTTTTTGCAGTGACAGAAGCACAGTTTGCAATATTTGTGTTTGCTTTGTGATGCCATTTGGGTTTTCATCTCATGCTTTACTTGCAATGGTGTATTATTTTGTAATTTAGCTGCGTTTGTATTAAATTGGGGAAGGGGGAGGGGGAGGGCGGGAAGAGTTAGGGAGAGGTTTTGTAGATGGGAGTAAAGGGAAGAGAGCAGGGTGTCTGTACTGCTGTCCCCTGTCCCCTTGCTCCCTCACTGTCGGAAACGTGAAGGCCTTAATCTGGGGAATTCGCTGCCGTGTGACAGCGTGGTGGGGCAGGGCGCAGCCCGGCGACTGTCGGTGCTGCAGGGAGGGGAGTGTGAAACTTGAATAGGAGAGCGGAGCAGTTGAGCGCCATCTGTGATGTGAAAGCCCGGTGTGCAGGGCTGGCATCGATGCCGCGAGCTTTGGGGCTCTGTGCAGCTCCGTCTGAGCACCGAGCGGGGCGGGTTTGCGATTGTTCATCTGCAGAGCATCGCCCTTTGGCTACGCACAGGGCTTGCTGGGGGGATGCTCATGGGGGCAGAGGGCTGCGATGGGGACCCTGAGCCCTGGTGGTGCTGCTGGGGGGGGGTCTGTCCATGCAGAGCAATGCCCCGTGTGCACCTGCGAGCGGCGGCACTTTGGCTGCTCCGCACCGAGGAGGTGAAGCGGGGCAGATGCTGATGTAGTACAATCCAGGATGTAACTTTGGAGAATGGCTTGTTTAATCTTTGTGCCTAAAGAGAAACACACACATACACACAACCACCACCAACAAAACAACACACCAGTTCTTTCGTATAAACGGTTGCTGCAATTTCTCACAAGTGTATGGTACCTTTTTGCAGTGAATTGGTACTGCTGGTCGTGGGTGTCATGGTACTGCTGAGCGCTCAGCTGAGCTCACGTGGCTTTTGTTGCTTTAACGTTCCCTTCCCTCTCACTGTCCCTTTCCTCCCCTAACGCAGACGCTGGCATCGTTTGGCTTCAGAGCTCAGCACAGTGCAGGATGGGAATCGGGATTCCCATTGGCTCCCAAACAGCACGAGCAGAGTCACTGCAAGGCTGTGTCTGATGATGGGTTGCCCAGCTGCAGGGTGACGTGGCGGCCAGCTTCCCTCTGCTCGTGGGCTGAGCCGTGCTGAGCCACGCGCAGTGCGGTGCCGTGTCCGTGTGCCCCACGTTGGGCAGTGCAGCACAGCACAGCGCCTCCCCCACACCCAGTCCCAGTGTTTGAGTGCACATCTGGTATTTGTTTCACGTAGTGTGACGTATGCATGAACTTCTGAGGCTGCGAAGCCATGGTAAAGCTCCATGACACCTATCCATATATATATAAGTATATATATGTATATTATAGCACTGAGGACCAACTGCCCTGCTGGACCAAGCAAACTAAGGCTTTCTTTCATCGCTTGTCTTTTATGTCGTGACAGCCCAAGTGCCAGTCTGATTGCTCTGTATTAAAACTAGTGTTTGGAATTAATTGATGTTATAGTTCCGTCTACCTCAGCACCTCCTGGTAGCCTCATTTTAGAAGGTGCCCAATTTTTTGTTTTTGTTTCTTCAGAGTATGGATTACTATTTTTTTTTTGTACAATTCTGTTTCCTCGCTGTTTGTTCCTTTGCAGTACTGCTTGCGAGTCCTATCTGTTCTTTAGCCACAGATGCAGTTAGCTAAAATTTCCTGAAAAATGAATAAAATAAAAAAAAAAGTCCCGAGTTGTGGTGTCTCCTAGTTGCAGCTCTCCGCATCTGCCTTCATTCTGTGTAGATTCAGATGCATTTCTTTGTAAAACTTCAGTGTTTCTGACAGGAAAAAAAAAAAAAGGAAAAAAAAAAAAAAAAAGGAAAAAAAAAAAGATTATACTGCTGCAGGTTTTTTTCTCTCCATGTGTCACTAAGTGAAGTTCGTGCCTTCTATAGCAAAGAGAATATTTTTTACATCCTACTAACAGTAGATTTTTTTGTAGTGGACATTTTTTGTATTTTTATTTATAAGTCTCATAAGGAAAATAGCAATGTTCAGTTGTATACCTTGAATCTGCAGTTAGAAGAAACAATAAAGTTAATTCAGTTGTCTCAGCCTGCCGTCTCCTGTCGCTGTTCTGTGCTCGGATGCCGGCCCTGGGAGGAGGAAGAGGAGGATGTGGTGGCAGCAGAGCCCTGCAGTGCTGCGCTGTTGGCACTGGGTGTTCCTATGGTGCAGGTCAAGCATCCTGAGCATTGCTGGAGGGTGAGGAGGGCTGGGGCGGATGGGGGATCCATCCCTGTGCACCCCCTGACCTGTGCTCTGTCCCAGGGATGGATGGTGCAGAGAGCAAATCCCACCTCTATGATCCTGGAGAGATGGGAGTCCTGCACAGCAAACAGGAGCTGCTGTTTTTCTAAGGGTGTGCAGCCTGGAAGATGCTTTTCCGTGGAAAATGGAGGTATGTGATCGTGGCTCTCAAGAATTTCTTTTTCATTAAGAGCCACGAGCTCCTAAAAAGCTTCCTTCTTATTTATGCAGGGCTCCCTCCGTGCTTTGGCATAGGAGAGGGGCCCTTACATGGGCAGAAAATGAAACGTGCCTCCTGTTTTAAAGTCCCCTGGCATCCCTGGAGACCGTTTCATCGTGCGCCACATGATGCTCGACAGGGTGATTTGCTGCTGTCCTTTATTTTTCCTGTTTGAGGAGAGAAGCAGCAGCACGGACAGCTCTGCTATTTGGGTTCTGAAGCCAAAAGGGCCATTCCCACCCTGCGTGGGTGCCATTCCCACCCAAGGTTGGCTCTTCCTTGCTGGGATGGTGCATGCACAGGTGCATTTGCGTTGCTTGGGAAGGGAGCAGGGCCGGTTGCAGGCTGCCTGGGTGATGTAGGAGCAAACAGCAAGAGGAGGATTCACAGCAGGAAGCCCACACAAGGGCTCCCTACTGCTGTGGGGTGCAGGGGGTGCAACCCTTGGCCCTGCTTGCTGCTGCCAGTGCAGCCACTGCTGCTGCATGCACAGCTCGCTGGGGAGCAGAGCGGGTTTGCCTCAATGAAAGTGAACTCGTTCATTTAAACCTGACTGCAGAGTAGTCTGGCCCCCCGCTGTGTTAATTATCCTGTAGTTCTAAACTGATTGCTGTACACTAAGCTTAAGCCCTCCTTTATTTATTTACTGACTACATTAACAGCAAAGTCTGCACTCCTTTTATGTTGCTGTATGGCATGCGGTACTCGGCCCGGTGCGCTGCAAGCTGCTCCCTCCCATCCTTGGTGCCCCCCAGGGGGGCCAGGGTGCAGTTACGTGCCCATCCTGTAGCAGACCCAGTGCAGTCACTCCCTGTAACACATTATTCATTTTTCAGGTGATGGATGCAATGCACTGTGTGGTGTGAGCATGGGCTCTTCCTATGCCCACAGTGAGCTGTGTGCCCACCCAAGGCTCCCCCGGGGCAGCTGTGCCCCATCCTCTGCTCTGTGCGTCCTGCTGCAGGGCACAGCCAGCATCAGAGGCTCCTGAAGTGCTGGTGGCAACGCATGAGCCTCCAAGTGGCAACTGCCTCTAGGTGCTGCCTCTTGGCACAGCCCCTCCTAGGGATGTGTTGGGCACCCCTGGTTGAGGTGTCCTGCTTGCAGCAACCTGCTGTCTGCACCATCCCTCGTGGAGGAAGGGATAAGATCCCACTGCAGCGTTTGGCCTCATACAAAGGAGTTATTATAACAGGGAAATTGTCATAGGACTGGGCCTTTGTCTGTACATTCACACAGCAGCTGGGAGTGATTATGCTGCAACAATGTTCTGTTCCATCAACATTATGTCCTCATTAAACCTTTATTAGTAGATTAGATTCAGATTTATTGATTTTTTTGTTGTTGTTTAGAGGAAAATCCAGGCTCATCTCGTAGAGATGCCTGTAACTTTTCCTGCATGCAGCACTTCCCAAAGCCGTGCGAGGGGAAAGCACTAACCTGAAAGGGAGAAAGCCTGGGTGCTGCCTCCTGCTCTGCCTTAACTCATTTCCCACAGCAACCTGTGGAGCGGGTGAGGGTTAGCAGCTCTGCACTGGGATCGAGTCACATCGGGACCGGGATGGCCAGAGAAGTGTTGTCTGTGGGATCTGTGGTGGCAATGTGAGCTGTGGGGCAGAGGGCTTTCGTGGGGCATGGCTGAGGAAGGAGATGCTGTGGTCCCACCGACCCCAGCCCAGGTCTCGTGTGGATGGGAGGCGTCGCACGCCCGGTTCAATGGGCCCATTGGATTTGTCTGTTGGAGCGTTTGATGTTACATGAAGGCAGCTCATTCCAGAGGGTGTTAATTGCCCGCTGCAGTGATCAGGTCTGTAGCGCCATCGATCTCGGTAGGATCAATGGGCTGATTTAGTGTCTCACAAACTCTTTAACTGGACACCTCATCAATAGCCAGCCACTTACAGACCATCAGCGCATTAGCGCTGGTTGGGGCTGCCAGGAGCCCACGCCGCCCAGCCAGCAGCCCTCCTGTCACTTAGCAGGGAGTTTTCCTGCATGTGAAGGCCTGGGAGGGTGTCTGGCCTATGGATTGGGGTTGGTGGGCTCGGAAGTGGACACAGAGGTGCCAGAAACTGTGATATCTGTGTTCCTGCCAAGGAGCTGCCAGAGCAAACAGGATGAGGCCTCTCTTCATCTCCAGTACTTCAGAGGATGGTGCCTGCGCTGGATGCTCAGGTAAGGAACAAGTGTGAAGCACATGTCTGTACCTGCACAGGATTTCAGGAACCACCCTGAAAATGCTATCAGTTTGGCTTTTTCTCTTGGCAGACATCACAGCTGCCTGACACACTACCCCTAGTTTGCAAACACGCTGTGCAGGTATTGCACTGGGCAGAGCAGCTCTTTACAATTTTTGGCTCAAATCCCAGTCCTGCTGTTCTGGGATGCAGGAGCTCCTTTTCTCTCCTGTTAGACAGCAGCTTCGTGCCACTACCCTGGCAGAGGTATGTAGAGGGAGCATGCTTATATACGGCAGCTTTGGAAGCCTGCAGTAGTGGAGGACCAAGACAGGTAACTCTGTCTCTTCCAGCATTGCATTCCTATGGAGACAGACCCATTTGCACTGTGTATTTTTGTTGTGGTTTTTTTGTTCCTCTCCCCCCACCCCACTAGTTCTCTCCCAGTTACTGTACTGATGGGTAGGAATGTGGAGGGGATCTGCTGGTCAAGCATGCAAAAAACACTCAGGAGAAGAGAAGACATTGACATGCAGGATCTGAGGCTCTGGTTGAAGCATTAACAAAGAACAAGAAACAGATGTGCAGCTTCCAGTGTTTCGTGCAAGGTGAGTGGAGCTGGTGAGCACAGCCCTGCGTGGAGGGCAGATCCATGTCCCTCTGCCACAGCAGGTTGCGTGATGAGGATGGAGGTGTGACCGGGAAGGAGTTGGGTGGCCCCGGGATGGAGGAGACAGCAGGAAAACACCCTGGGGAGGGGTGGAGAGAGAGGTGGGCATCCTGATGACCTGGGCTCCAGATGAGCCTCCGCTGGGCAAGGTGAGGGCTGAGCCCCACGAGTCCAGGAGAGCGGGATTTTGGCTGGGACCGGGGAGCCCTTGAGGGAGCGGCGCCGCCTGACTGCGCCGCTGCCGCTGTCCGTGGTGCTGAAGAGGCGGGCGGGAGCGGGGCCGCGCTGTGCTCGTGGCCTTAACCCGGCTGGGAGGAGGATGAAGAGGGATGGGTGAAGAGGCTGCAGCCAGCCGGGAAGCCCTTGTGAGGTGAGAGAAAGGGAAAGGAGATCGGTTGGAGCTGATAGCGCTTCAGTTGGGGTAGGCGTGCTCGGTGTTTGCTCGTTTTTCCTCAGCCCTTATCTTAGTGCTCAGATGCTGCTGTTCCAGAGCTACTGGAAGTGGGGCAATTGCACCAGATCTCTGTAGTCAGAAAACACAGACAGGTCTGAGTGCATGAATCAGGGAGTAGCCTCTGGAGCGCAGCAGCATCTGAGGTCCTCACATTGCCTGCCCCAAAATGCAGCTCAGGCATACTGCCACACCGACCAGAGGGTGCCCAGTGTGACAGTGTAGGCCAGGACAGCCACCAGGTATGCTCGGAAGAGCAGGACGTCCAACACGTAGCCCACTTGCAGCCACTCACGGGCGACATCACGGAATTCATCACGCTTCTCCAGGAACTGGCGGATGGTGGTGATCTCGTGCAGGATGCTGTGAATGAGCAGAGAGCCCTCTGCTGGAGTGGCAAAGGCAGGGGTGGGCCTTGTGCCTCCTGCCACCTCTCGCTCCCGAGGGTCTTCGGAACCATAGTGGTTCAGCTTGGCTGCAGGATCAAGAGAGAGAAGTGAGAAAAATCTTTTTAAATGCAGAGCTGAGACTTATGCATGTGATCTGGACATCCGGATTGCTGTGCATGTGCCACAGTGCTCCAAGAGAGATGATGATGAGAGCTAATTGAAATAACAAATGCTAGTTCTGATAATACACCACTAGAAGAGCTTTGGGCTTAGTTCTGACTAGGATTCAGTTCCCTTCTATTTCTGCAGGACCACTCTCCCCAGTCCTTACCTGTGCTGTCATTGTTCTCCACGTGCCTGGAGATGTCTGAGCTCTGTGTTCTGCTTTGGCTGAATTTCTTTCTGTCCCAGATGCAGAGCAGTGCAGTGGCACGTTCCAGCAGTAAGTGCTTCACCCAGCTGGGGACGTGAGGCTGCAGGTCTTGCTTGTGTACCAGGCGCACAATGAAGATGGTCTCTGTGAGGCTGATGACGAGCAACGCCATGCACACCACAAAATAGATGCCTGTGGAGATGCCAACAAGGTGAGTGGCCTGCATTGGCCAGCTCAGTCTTTAGATCGATGCACAGTGCAGGCAGGTCTTGAGTGAATTCTTCCTGCCAAGCCCTGCAGCAGATCTCTGGTCACGGCATAGAGCTGCAGCATACAACTGCTTTGTAGCCCACCCCATCCTGTTGGCAGGATGTCATTCTGTTCTCTGGGCTGCTGTGGCACTGCCTGCGCAGCCATGCATCTGCTCCAACACCGGAGCTCCAGTGCAGCTCTGTCAGATGCGTGGAGTAGCCTTGATACCTCCAAATCCTGAGCTATTTTACAGCCCCCATTTCTGTACCGACCCACATTTCCCATTTCTTGCTCTTGTGTGAAGAGCTCTTGCCCCAGCACCAGCTCGTGCTGCCTCACCTATCAGTGGGGTGCCAACAGCAGTAGCTGGAAGCGTGTCAGATACGATGATGAGGAAAACTGAGTAGCCCAGGAGGAGAGTGATCTTGAAAGACACCCTCTCACCACTGTTGGGAGGCAGGTAGAAACCTACAATGTCCATCACCATCAGGAAGATGCTAGGGAGCAGCAGGTTGATAGTATAGAAGAGAGGACGCCTCCGGATGACCACCTATTGGGACACAGGGAGAGACAGGAAAGGTTTAGTGAAGGCAGAGCCCTGCTTGAAAGGTGGGCTTGGGCTGGTCTGGGTCTCTACTAAGGCAGGTGAGAGTGGTGGGCTGCACTGCCCAGACCCTTGGGATGGTGGAGGGATGCACCTCAGCACGGGGCTGGGGAGCAGCTTGAAGTAATGGGACCAAGGGCAAAACTATGCCACAGTGTCTCATCTCTGAGAACAGCGGCGCTCAAAGCAGGGCACAGCATTGCCCCAAGAAGGCAAGAGCCCTTACGTAGAACTTCATCTCGGCGTAGCTGTCGCTGCTTTTGACGCTGAACTCCTGGAAGTGGCTGAGCACGTAGAGCAGCTCCCACTCGCCCTGGTTCATGAAGACGCTCCTGTCGAATTTCACCAGCTCCGGCTGCCGCCACAACGAGAGGTTGATGTCGCGGACTGCAAGGGAGGTGGGGACGGAGCTGCAGGCTGCCGGGCACGGCATTCCCGAGCCGCTGGGGCCACCTAGAGGGGGACGCGTCCCCTGCACGGAGCCGCCCGCCCCGGTCCCGTCCCCGAGCCCCCAGCGCTCACTGTTGTGCAGCCAGCTGGTGAAGGTAAGAGAGCAGTTCTGGATGTCGAAGGGGAAATTGTAGATGTCCAAGCTGCAGGCTGTCACCACCTGGATGGGCTTGAGGTTCTGGACCTCTCCGTGGTGGCGAATGTAGACGTAGGGGACGTCAGGGGACTTCCCGACGTCCACGCTGGAGGGCACAGGGACAGAGAACATAAGGGTAGGGAGCACTTTGGGGAGGGCTGCAAACAGCTGGGCTCCTCCTGGCAAGCTGCGTTTGGGATGGGGACTGCCCAGCACTGGGACCTTTCCTTGCTGTTCTGCCAACGGGTTCTTTTGGAAACAAGTGGAGGTCAGGGGAAAGGGCCAAAGCAGTAGCGTAGCACACTGCCCTGCGTGGGCACAGCTGCCCCATGTCATTACCGTGCTCCCCGTGCTCTCCCAGAGCAGCCCAAGACCATATGTGGCTCTGCCTCATGGGGGTCTCTGCAGCATGAGATGGTGGGAACACCTTAAATCACAGCAGAAGTGGGGGTGGGGAAGGACAATGGCTGGCTTTGCAGGGAGGGCTGGCAGCTCTGCAGCTGCCCTCGCATTGTGCTTCCTTAACAAAGCCTTTCCCCAAATATCTGGATCCCACCCCCAGCACAGCGTGGGTAATTACAAATGTGTGCAGTTAGCCAGCATTGGAAATGTCCCAAGTGCCAAGCCGTTCCCCATCTGCAGCCCACTGCACACGGGGGCAATGCCAGTTCTGTGCCAGGAATACAGAGCAAGGCACAGTGATGGGAGAGGGAGGTTAAAGCCTCGAGCTCTCTTCTGGGGTTTGGGTTGGGGCTGTGCTGTACTTACAACTCGTTGATGAGGATGTCGGGCACCCAGATGCTCTCTGCAGGGAGGGAAATCTGCGTGATATTGTCAAAGTGTGCTGGATCCCACTGGAGGAACTCATCTGTCCAGTGCTGTGGGGGCAAAGCAAAAGGGGATCTGGAAGGTAACACTGGCCCTGCCAAGATTCAAACCCAATGCCAGCAGTCTGTTACAGAAAGAAACCCTAAGTGTCTAAATGTCTGAGAGAAAGGAAAGCCCATTTCTCCAGCTACACAACACTGAGAAGCAGGCAGTGTGCAAGCTGTGTCTTCAGAGTCTTGACTCGTGCCCTGCAGAGGTCCCGTTATGTCCTGCAATAACGGGGGATAACCATGGTGTGAGCTGGAAAGGCATGTGCTCACAGAGACACATTTGCCTCCCAGGGGTGCTCTCACAGGGATACTACCCCATCTCCAGCAGCATCTCCCATGAAAACAGAAATGCCTGTCCTGTCTCTTCCTGAAATTGCTTCCTTCTGCACTCATCCAGGTGCTCTGTGTCTCGTGGGCCTTGTTTGAGGGTGAATTCATTGACTGATACCTGTGCAGTTGCAGGGAACAAAAACCAGAGGTGAGTGAGTAGCTGAGCAGACAAGGAAGCTGTCTTTGGGGAAGAGGCTTACAAATGAACTCAAAGGAGATTTTCCTTTCTGTTGAATTTAGTGCTCCACAGCCTTCCTGCATTCTTGCATCCAAGGGAGATGGCCCCAGTTTTGAAAGGAGCCACCGTGCCAGGACCTGTCTGCAGGGCTGAGAGCTGGGATGATGAGGTAGGCAAATATCAGGGCTGGCTGACAGCCGCCTGCCTTCCCCCATGCATCCCTCCTGGGACTGGCACATCCCTGCACACTGTGGGGCAGAGCCTCGGTGCTGACAGATGGGGCTGAAGGGAAGATGGGGCCGGAAAGGTCCGTGGGCTCACCTGTCTGTACCAGATGTAGGTGGTCAGCACCTGGTTTTTCTCATCCTGTGGGAACAAGAGGAGGAGTGATTGGGGCAGGGTGACAACAAAACGTTGCTGGTGTAGATGGGTGGAAGTAGCCAGGGGGAATTCGTGCAGCAAGAATCATTCCTTTTACAGAGGAATGAGCAGCAGCACAATGCCGTGGGGTGGAAGGGGAGAGGTTGGTTAGGAACCCCTTGGTTCCCCATCAGAGCTGGTATGGGAGGACAGCAGACTCACCACGCTGAGGATGGCATACACCATGACATCGATGGCCACGGTGGTGGTGGTGCGCCAGTCCCGCACGGGTCGGACTCCCCTCCTGTAGTGAGCCAGCAGCGTGTCGGACAGACGGAGTAGGGCTGGCGTGGAGGGATCTGGCTCTGGGCTCCCCTGCAGGGCTCCTGTTGGGATGGGGAGAGGCAGCTCATATTTGTTGTTTGCCCCTCTGGTTCCCTGAATCACCCTGACCTTCCCCTAGGCTCTTCTTGGGTCTCAGATGGCTGTGTCCCACCTGAAGCTGCTGCCTGCCTCTTCTGCAGGAGTGATGTCAGGGCAGTGGGAAACTGAGAGGGAATCCCTGCCCCAAGATAAGCTTTCTAACCCTTATTGGAGAGACATTACTTCTTTACTATGAAGGTGAAGGCTAAGGTTAAAGATGAGCTAAGATGCTAAATTTATGCAAGGTAACAAAGAAGACTAAAATCTGTCTATACCAGATAAAAAAAGGTACCTGTTCTAATCCTGGGGGCTGCACCACGTGTGTCACCAGGCTTTGCATCCAGTTCCCCAGTGCTTTCTATGGCACAAATGCCTGCAAACGCTGCTGGCCAGTCAGTCTCTTGGAAAGCAACTGCATGCCAGCTGGGTTTTTTGGCTATTGGTCAAATATCTGTTCCTTAGCTCATCTTTGCTGCCCCGGTGCGTTCATGCAACGCTGGGAAGGTTCTGTGCCACTCCTCCATCATTTGTGGCTCTGAATGGCACTGCATCAAGGCTGAGGAGCCCAAGTAAAGAACAGCACATCTTCTGCACATTCAGATCTCATCTCCTTGTGGCACACGTGAGAGTTGGATGCTCTGAGCCCACAAAAGGAGGAGATGCAGCACAGGGCTGTGTGATTAGAGCTGGGATAGCAGTGCTCTGTGCCATCCCTGCTCCAGGCACTCCTCCTGCCCTATATGTGTAAGGTGTATGGGCTGAAGCTGAAGAAGGACCCATAGGGTTGGTGTATGCATGTGTGCACGCAGCGTTGGCCCTGTGCTGCTCTGCCAGGCTGTGGGCATTGCATCTGCAGCTCCATGTTGCCAACCTGGCATCTTTAGCTACGAGTGACATCACTCTGTTGTGCAGGAGCAATGTTGGTGTTGGTATCTCAACCAACAGAGCCTGCTCAGTATGTAACCAGGGGCACTCATTGAGTAGATCTGCAGGAACTTGGGAAAAAAACTGCCTGGGAGGAAATATTCATCTTTTTTTTTTGAGCTAAGAAAAAGCAGCCCCAGCCCCTCCAACTTTACGTGCAACCCATAATGCTCCAGAGCTGGCCATGCTCATGACCCTCATCTAGACATACGTTAGCAGTTGGAGGCAACAGGGGTGAGAAGCAGCAATCAGAGGGATGGGAGGAATGGGAGGAACTCAGGCACTGCTGCCACTGCACCAGTGGCTCTGGCCAAGCTGCAGCTGCTCACAGCTGGCTTAGGGCACCTGTTCCCAGTGCATGGAAAAAGCCACATTGGATGGGGCTGGGCTCACTGCAGGGTCCCAATGCTGGTCTCAGGGCTTGGCTGGCTCACACCATCTGCCACACTGCAGGTAAGTGCTGTTTGCTCACTGTTTTCCATCTGAGCTAAAGGGAAATCTTGTCTATGAAATTAAATAACTAGGAAACTGACTGACTTTGAAAGGGCAGAAAGCCCCCAGTTGCTACATGTTGGCTGGCAGCATCCTGTAACCAAGTATTCAAACTTTGTGATGCAATCAGCATCAACCACAGAGTGAACTTATTTCAAAAAATGCCCAATGGTAAGACTTTTTTTAAATCCAGGACAAAATATCTGTTTCCCCCCCCACCTTTATCCCTTTCATAAGGAAGACAAAAACAACACGCACTCCTGAAACCACTTGCATGGCCCTGTACTGGTTGCCTTTGACTATTCAACATGAAGAACATTTGGCCAAAGCTGCTTCCCCTGCTCAGCCCAGCAGTTGGGCCGTGGCATGGAGCCACTGAAGTGGGGTCACAGCACCATGTCTGGGGATCCTTCCTTGGGATCCAAGTGCTCCAAAACCCCTGATGTGCCCAAAACTCTGTGCTGGGTTCAGGTAAGCCATTACCTCCCTCTCTTTGCAACCACACTCAGTCAAGCACGCAGTGCCTTGGAGCTCTTTCCAAGCTCTTTCCAAGAGGTTACCCTTGGTTGGATTTACCCATGGATGCAGATTTGGAATCATTTTAATCTTAAAAAATACTTTAAAACAAACAAACAGCCAACAAACATCAAAACAACCCTAAAGTTTGCATGCTCTATAGAACCACTGCTTACATGAAGGTGCTCCAACGTGCCTCCAGCTGCAAGAAACCAGCTCCTTCTCCCACCCCTGAAGGTTTCCCCATCGTGTCCTTACCTGCATCCTGCAGCATCGACACCGGTGGCAGCAGTGCCAGGAGCAGCAACATGACAGCCACCGCCAGCACCATGGTGCCCCACGTCCCCAGCTCCGTCCGCAGTCTGCGCTCTCCTCTAAGTGAACCCAATCAGGGAAGCAGGCAGCACTTTTTGCTCGCTGTCCCCCAGCCGTCAGGTTTGGGAAAATGCGTAATTAATCTTGCAATCAGCCTCCTCTGCTGCATCGAGTTTCAGGAGGGGAGGGAGGAAGGAGGAGGCCGCCCGCCCCACGGCTGGCATGCTGCGAATGCTGAGTGTCTGAGCCCCCTGGCCATGCAGAGTGCTGGGGGGAAGCTCCTGTTTCTGGGAGGACTGGGAGCTGGCTGCATCATCTGCGGGTGGCAGCACTGTGAGATTTCCCCATCAGAGCTGTGCTACTGTGGATACTGTGCAGGTGAAGGATGAAACCTGTGCCAGGTGCTCGACATGTGGCTGTGCAGGTTCGCTCTGGGGGACTGTGAGCCGTGGAAGAGAGCAGGGGCTGCAGGAGGTGTGTGGGGAGCAGTTCTGGTGATGGAGAGAGCCACAAGGCTGTGCCAGGAACCCTTTCATGGCCTGCAAATGAGAGAGGTGAGATCTGTGCCAGGGACGTACAAAGAATAGAGCTGTAGAATGGCTTAGCTTGGAGGGGATCTTTAAGGTCACTGCGCTCCAAGCCCCTGCCATGTGTAAGTTGCCAACAACCAAACCAGGCTGCCCAGGGCCCATCCAACTTGGCCTTAAGAACCTTCAGGAGTGGGGTGCTTGGTGTGGGTACAGCCGGAGCTGCTGCAGGGCAGGGTGGGCTTCCAGCAGCCAGGCAGAGAGCTCTGGAGCTGCACTGAGCAGTGCTGGAATTGGAGTTGCTATATGGGAAGAAGAAATAACTGCTCAGTGGCAGGGATGAGCAGGGCAGGCTGGAGAAGGACTTTCCCCAAAACCTCACGGTGCTCCCAGCTTCTCCAGAAGCTCCCTCGTACTGGGAGGGCTGGTGAGGCAGCCAGGCAGGATCGGAGCCCTCGGCTGCGGCAAGGAGCAAATTGCATCAGATGGCAGCGTGGAGTCACTTAAACGAGATAAGAATTAGTGCACGGCCCTGATGAACTCCCCCTCGGCTGCCAATAGCGGTGTCAGGGAAAGAGAGAGTGTAAAGCTGGGGCTAATTTGATTTCTCAGCTCTGTTAGAGGATGGTAAGTCACCTCCCGGGGAGCGCAGACAGCTCGGAGCTGTTTGCTGTTATTGAATCTGGATAATAAAAATCACGGGCAGCGCCGCAGCGGGGCTGGGGATCGTGCCCTGGGCTGCAGTGCTGGGGAGCATGCAGAACCCACTGCCACCACCGTGTCCTCCTGGCACCTGCAGGGAACGGGACACGATGCACTGCAAGGGGTCCAACCGAGGGTCCCAACAACAGTGCAGGGTCCGGGGTGGAACAGGACAGTGAGGAGCAATGAACCGCAGCCTCAGTGGCAGCATCATTAACTCTGTATCCTCTCCCTTGGGTTTTATGTCTTCATCTTAAAGAGATTTTAATGTAGTTCCTATCAGGCCTCCTGTTATCGGATATCTAATTAGTGTGATCTATTATAGCCTTGTATTACGCGCGTGCACACACAGTCTGTACGTCGGGGGCTCTTACGGGACTTTTTGTGGGATGTCTGATATAAATTGGCAGTATCCAGATCAGATTTACTTTCTGAAATGGTATAATGGGATTTTATTAGCTCTGTAATCTGCTGCACAGTAATTGCTTTTCTGAGAATCGAAGCGCTCGGCATCTCGAGTTTCCCTGAGCTCAGCCCGGCTCCCTGCTCCTGCAGCACTGCCACGACTCCAGCACAGCTCTGTGCACCAAAACCTGGTGAGTCTTCCCTCCTTAAGGGCTAAGGATGGTGCTCAAATCCTTCATTTTTCCATGCAGAGCTGAATATGTCAGCTACGTTGTGAAGTCTCTCTGTGGGTCCTGCATGCAGGTTGCCCTGGTTGGTGATGCCATGCCACGCTGTCCCCTGTTTTTAAGCATGCTTCAGCTCTGGCTGTCTTTCAGGAGGCACCAGTTGTGGGAAAGGATGTTTTCCTCAGTGCTGGATGCTTCTCAGAGTGGTGACCTCAGGGTGGGGGGCACTGGAAGGTAGGGGCTGTGCACGATGTCCTGGTGATGCGCACAGTGCTCTGCATCCCTCCCCTCACACCAATCTGTGCCAACCAAGAATGCAATCAGAGCCACCTGCTGCAGCTGTGGGCTCAGCCCTGGGCTGCTGCATGGGGTTGGGCCTCACTGATGGACACAGAGGAGCAGGAGGGGCAGGGAGGTTACAAATGGGATGATGGCAGAACGATGCTTTGTAGGTTGCAGAGCGAAGGGCCATTCCTTGCTTCTATGGAGACAGCTCCCCATAAAGGCTAATAGGTTTTTGAAGGATACAGAGCATGGACAGATCTGTTGGCTCCACGAGGCCATTCTTTTAGTGCAGGGAGCAAGCTGGGTGCCCAGTGAAGGGGTCCATCCTCCAGAACCCCTACAAAACACATCCAGGATGCAGCTGGAGGGCAGTTTTGGGAGCCAGGCTGGAGGCAGGAGCTCCATTAGGCACTTTGCTGATTTAATCACCACCATGGGTCACTGCAGATCTTGATAGCTTTGCTCTGCACAGGGAACTGGGCTGACAAACACCTCACTGCCATGCTGGCTGCCTCAGTGTGAGCCCATAAATGTCTCTCAGGTAAATAGAGGTAAGGGCTGGAGTAACATGCAGATAGGGCAGCATTCAGCATCGGCAATGCTGCCGTCCCACAGCCCCCCAGAGCCAACCTCCAAGTCTGCATTAAGCAGGTAACCCTGAGATCGTAACAGAAGAACAACTACAAACATTTCCAAGGATCTCACCGATGCACTGGTTAAAACAATTATTTTTTCCCCTCGTGGGTATGCATCGCATGTAAGTGGTTCCTGCCATGGCAGTGCAAGTGCACGACAGCAGCAATGAAGACAAAGCGTTGGTGGAGTATCCTTCTGGGGATAATCACACACGACTGGGGGATGAAGAGGTGACCCGCTTGGTCTCCTCCATCTGCAATTCTTGTTTACTTTGTTCGTCTTTATGAGGGAGTGCGATTATGCAACTGCTGTAATGAGTTTAAATTTATCTCAGCAGTGCTTTGGAAATAAGATTTTATTAGAGCGATAGGAAAGCTTGCCCAACTCCTGTCCCCATCCTCACCAATAAAAATGCACAGGGGTCATAAATAAGCAGTGCTGCAGTGGCTGGGAAGGGGAGCGCTTCCACAGCCCCACCGTATTTCATGGTTTAATTATCAGCAGCACAAAGTTCTGTGGGCCTGGAGGGGACAGTTAAAATGTCTCTGCAGAAAGTGCTCTAAAGTGACGCTCTGTAATGAACGTGAGGCTGTCTCACGGTGTAAGAGAGTATCTCCTCCAAAACGACTTGGTTTTAATCTCCTTTGAATGCTTTGTGACAAATGGGCCAGGCTGCATGGCACCAAGTGTCACTGGAAGGGGATCACTTTTTTGCAAAGTCATCTGTTGGCTTTCAAAGCCCTCCAGCTCTGAGCAGAGGCAGGTGCTGCAGGGGGGGCAGAGGTTGGAGCATCAGTGCAATGAGGGAGCAGCCCTGGGTGTGGGGTGCAGCCCTGGGCAAGGGGGGCAGCTGGCACCTGCACAGAGTGTAAAAAGGCCTTAGTGCAAACTTACAGAGCTGCAGCAATGCTGGGATGAGCAGCGCTGCAGGGCACAGCGGAGGGAGCTGAGCCCAAATCCAGCTGGCTGCAGGGTGGTTTTGGGGGATGGAAGGGTGTCAGGATGCAGCTGATGTTGCTCTCATTTCATTAACAGCAGCAGAAGCATTTCACGGGCAATTGGAGATAAATACCAGCGCCGTGCAATGAGCAGCAAGAGGCAGCTGCAGGTAGGGGCTGGGACAGTGCCTGTGCAGAGCAGGGGGGGCTGTGAGCTCTCTTATCTCAGTGCCTCCAGCCACACTCCTACTGCTCACAGGGCTGCGGATCACCCCTTGTCACAGGGCTGCCCACAGGACAGACAGGCAGGTGGGGTGGTCACCACACAGAGGGTGCTGAGCATCCCTGGGGCAAACAGGAGGATGGAGACAGGAGGGGGGGGCTGACAATTTGGAGCACAGCAGCCAAATGGGCACAGCTGTAGCCCGGTCTCAGAGAGCTCAGCTAAGGAAGGTTCTCCCTCTGCAAGCTGCTCGTATTTACTCATCTGCTTAATGAACTCCACTTGGAGCAGCTGCAGGGATGAGTCACGCTGTATTTCAAGGCAGCAAGTGGTGACAGTGCTGTGCTGGCATCAGGTGCAGCTCAGGCCAGGGGGCAGGGAGTAGCCGTGCAGTTTGGGATCTCATTCTCACAGCAATGCTTGCTGTATGGCTGTGAGCCCCTTTTTCTTCTTTGGGCTGTGACAAAGTGTGAGCCATGCCCTTCTTTGCTGTGGACCGGTGTCCTGACACAGTCCCTCTGTTGTGCTGCCCTTGGGGACGTTGCCAGCAGAATGCTGGGCATGGTGGTGACCTTGGAGCTGCCAAACCCACAGTCCTAGGGAGGATGCTGGGATCCCTGTGCTCCCAGGGCTGGGAATGCAAACCCGGCAAAGAAGCTTGATGCCTTTAAATCCCCCATCAAAGCACTTTCCCTTCAGTTCCATTCACCATTAGACACCCTTCAAGTGTTAGCAATATTATGCCACAATTTCATTATCCATTAAAGCCAGGTAATAATAAGTACACCAAGGTATTTGGAGCCCATTGGCGTTAATGGAGGAGATCCATCTCATTCTGAGCAGGTACAGCTCCGCGCGTCAGAGATGCGATATTACCCAAGGTTAGGCAGGAATTGCCTTGCTGAGAGCAAACCCAACAGTATTTAATCTTGCATGGCTGTCTTTATGGCACAGTGTGAGCCTGGGTGCCCGATTTGCTGCTTTTCTCCTCCTTTTATTTTGCTGCTGCACCTTCCTGACCTGGTTAGGTGGGAACACGCCCCCAGTTCAGGGGCGTTTCTTCCTATCCTTGC